GATCCCAATGTGGGACTCAATCCCCAGACCCTGGGATCATGACTTGAGCTGAAGGCAGTTACTTAACTAACTGGGCCACCCAGGCCTCCCTGCTTTGCTTTGCAGTAAATAAAGACTACCAAGGAAGGAATATCCTTAACCCTCCTATTATCTCCATGAATAAATCTTTCCTTCTATCTGAAGTAAATACCTGAAAAGAACTTATTATGAAAAACTTGTAAACATACAAAAAAGTAGAAATAAGAGGGTGAACCCCTAATTCCCTTCAAGATTCAACAATTGTTAAGATCTCCCACGTGTGCTTGTTGTGCAAGGGCCTATTCAACCAGAGCGGCCGCACCCCAGCTGAACTGCCATTTTGTTGTAAAACTTAAATTGACCCTGCCCCTGCCCCCCCACCCCAGGGGAACTTACTTAAAAACAAGTCCCAGAAACCAGTCCCAGGTAACAAAGTCCAAGTACAAGGGCGGGTCAGGCCAGGTGGAGGTATTGAATCAGTGGGGTCGCATACTGTCTCCTAGCTACCAAGGAGTATGGGCCCCGCCCTTTGGGTACCTTTTGGGCACCAATTCTGACCAAGGTGATAGGCTGGTTCAAATGTCTACCAGGGTAATTTGTAATTCAATTGGTCACTTATGTGTGACCTAGCATGACTGTGCAGCTTTTTCTGTGTTTTACAATTTCATTGGCCACTGGTGCATGGCCAGGCCCAACCACATGGCCTTTGCTCTATAAAAGCTAGTCTGTGAAACAGAGAGGGGTCGCCCTCTCTGTAAGGGGAGGCTCCGACCGGTTTGACAACGGTTGGTTTGATTCTTGATGCTTGGCGCGAAATAAAGCTTTGCTTGGCCTTTGCTTTGTATCAGTCTTGCTCCATTAATCACGGACCCATTATTGGGGGACCCAACATTGGGGACCCAACACTTGTAACCCCCTTGCTTTGACTTCTGATTTGTTTTAAAGTAAATCCTCTAAGTTATGTCAGTTTACTCCTATGTACTTCAGCATTCATCTTAAAAATATATAGACATTCTCTTACATAACCACAATGCTATTATCAGACTACAAATGTGACAAAAATTCTTTTAAACTCTTTCTAAAACAGTCCAGTTTTTAAATTAAATGTTTAAAATGAAAGTTAAAATTTTCTCAGTTGTCTCCAAGTTATCTTTTTTAGCAGGCATTGTTTGAATCAGTTATGTAAACGAAGTCTGAACATTACATTTTGTTGTTGGATCTGTTCAGTCTCTCTTTTTCTCAAGTAGTGCCCCATGACGTTTAAACCTGCGTAATTAATTGACTCGCAAAGAAACTGGGTCAGTGTTCTGTGCTGTGTTGCACATTCTGGACTTGCCTTTGCCTCCCGGTGCTGTCATTTAACTTGTTCCCCATCTCCACACTTCCTATGAAACAAAGTTATCTGTGGCTTGAGTACACTCCACTCTTTTGATAAGGATATTCCTTGAAGGCTGGATACTTCATGTTATGTCACACTGGGTGGCACAGGAGGCCTCAGTTGTACTTGTGTAGTGTTAAGATTGTTAAAAACAAACCACAACAAGCCCAACATGGACACACTTGTGTCTGAGCCCCACATGAGCAAACCAAGACTTCACATTGAACCTCATTGCAGTGTCTGCCTCTCCCAGGAATGTGACCTGCAGCCACTCGATGCAGAATTACTTGATCAGTACCAGCGAGGTCATCTGCCTGATAGATCCCGACCACCCCCGCCCCCCACCAACAGTAGGCTCTAAGATACTTGTCATGTTATAGTATGGTAATCAAACAACAACAACAGCAACAAACTCTTCTTACTGCATAATTTTTATCTTTACAAATATTTTAGTTGTAAAACAAATAATATGTTAAGAGAAACCAGTGGATACATTTCTTTAAAAGTAAGATGAAAATGCTGTCTTTCAAAAAAAAAGTTGTCCCATCTTGGGCAACTAATAGTTTTCCCAATCATTTTGACTTTTTATTTTCTACTTCTAATCTTATCATCTGTGTGGCTCCCAGATACTTTTGCTGTGACTCCTTGGCTAAATTGGGAAGTGGGATGCAAGCCCTATGACATCAAGTTATCCTACAGAAACTTCTTCAGCCTGAACTTAGAAAATTCAAGGACTTCTTGGGCCAGAAGCATATAAAATGAAAACTAAAAATGAACAAGCTGCAAACATCTCTAGGAAAAAAGAATTTTTTTTTAAATTTCTGATCTTAGAAGGGACACTTCTAGTATATTTCATCAAGTATTAAAATGAGGGGCCTGGCTGGCTCACTTGGAGCACATGACTTGATCTCAAGATTGTACGTTCAAACCCCACATTGGTGTAGAGATTACCTAAAGATAAAATCTTGAAGAAAAGTATTAAAATGGCTATTGATTTAAGATGGCTATAAATTTTTATCACTTTGAAAAAGTGTCCTTATAACTATGGTTTTCAAAGAGTTTTTATTTTAATAAAACGCTTACTGAATTAAAACAAAAGCTGTATCATATAATCATTTTTTAATAATTTTTTATTTTTTTAAGATTTTATTTGAGAGAAAGAGAGAGTGTGTGCAAGCAGGAGGAGGGGCGGAGGGAGAAGGAGAAGTGGACTCCTGATGATCCCAGCACCCCAAGACTGTGACCTGAACCAAAGGCAGATGCTTAACCAACTAAGCCACTCAGGCAGCCCTCATATAATAATTTTTTTAAAACATCCCTGTATTTGGCATTTAGATGGTCTCAGTTATTCACTATTATACATAATGCTGGCATGAAAAACCCTGTATAGGAATCCATTTGGGAAGATGTACATTGGGGCAATGAAGAACAGAATTTAACCACCAAAAGAATCAGTGACCCAAAGTAGAATAAGGATAGAAACCCTAGCAAGGAAACTGAGCCACGTGACCAGTCCTTGTTGGTCAGCAGCTGATCAGGAAGTGGGGGGCTCAAACAGAGCACCAGGCCGCAAGGGGGATAAACAAGGGTGAGTTTGTATATTGGTTAGAAGTAGAGTGGAAATGAGGAAGGAAATCCCTGTGTATGAGTTTGAAAGCCACACTGGGAGTTCAAGTGCAAACAAGATGTCATTTCAACAGATGAAAAAAGTTGTATTCCCTACCCACTATACTTTTGGTGTGGTATCCTAATAAACATGCAAAAAAGGTGATAGCAAGAATTTTTAGAAGGTTGAGATTTTAGATTTATAAGAATAATGAAGGCTTTACCCAATGCCAGGTGGTTTGGGGTGTTATATTTCTTGACTAATTTAAAATTTAGTCTTCCGATTTTAGCCACTGGCCCACAGCACCATTTTTTAAGTAGCCAGTGGTGAGAGAGTTCCATAAACATGGTGGTGGCTGGAATTGTTTGACATGTAGGATCTCCTGTAGTGTGCATTTATTAACTGGAAATTTTTATGTTAAATCTGGAAAAGTTTGAATCTTGACTCAAGAGATTATTGACTATTTCACAGTGTAAATATTTTTAAGTAGGAAAGGGACATACCTAGTCAACAAACGTTTGTTGACTTAACTTGATTTATTACATTAAAACTGAGAAATGAACTTGAAATGAGAACAGAAAAATGTTTTAAGATGAACTTAGCCTAGAAAGGAAGGAAAATGAAAGGTATAAAATCAGGATAAAGGGAAAAAGAATTTTTTAAGAGGACATGAATAATTATTACAACAGTTATGTATAAAATGAAAAACTGAAAAAACCCAAATGTCCAAACAATAGAGTGATAGACACAAAAATTTAGGACCTATGATTTTTAAATGTAATCATATAAAGTTATATTTTAGAAAACACTAATTTGAAAAGATCTACACACTCCTTGTTTATTGCAGAATTATTTACAATAACCAAGATAAAGAAGCAACCTATGTGTCCATTGACAGATGAATGGATAAAGAAGATGTCAATATGTATATATACAATGTGTATATATACAATGAAATATTACTCGGTCATAAAGAAGAATGAGATCTTGTCATTGTGACAACGGAGATGGACCTAGAGGATATTATGTTAAGTAAAATAAATTAGAGAAGACAAATACTGTATGATTTCACTTTTATGTGGAATCTAAAAAAGAAATAAACAAAGCAAAAATAAACCTGTAAATACAGAGAACAAACAAGTGGTTGCCGGAGGGGAGGATGGGCAAAATGGGTGAAGGGGAATGGGAGGTAGAGGCTTCTAGTTATGGAATAAATAAGGGTCAAAGTACAGCATAGAAAATATAGCCAGTGGTATTGTAACACTGTTGCATGGTGACAGATGGTAGCTACATTTGTAGTGAGCATAGCATAATGTATAGAGTTGTCCAATCACTATTCTGTACACCTGAAACTAATGTAACATTGTGTACCAACTCTACTCCAACCCCCCCACCAAAAAAGTTCTATTTTAATGAATGGGAAGTTGTATAATGTTACCTTAAAAGGAATAATAAATGTATATATTCCACATAGTGATTTCAAACATGTAAAATAAAACATGCACAGGAAAAAAGAATAAAAACATCAATGTGTTATCAGTGGTTATTTCTGGGAATTAAATTTTAGATATTTTTCTCTTTATATTTCTTTGTTTTCCAGCTTTTCTATACTTGCACATATATTACTTTTGACAAGGGGTAGGGGAGAATTTTTCTCCTCTTCCTTTTAACCTCTTTTTAGCTCCATAGTATTAGTAAAATTCTTTTTTAGATCTCCATAAATTACCTGGCTCCCTACTATTCAGTGGACAGATTCTAGAGAAATGATGAGCTCTACCAAAACTAGCATTGAAATGGTTGTCTCTGAGTTAGAGACTTTTCATCCACATTTTTCTTTTACTAATTTATTTGTAAATAAATACATTTGTAAATAAACTGTTATTGTTTTAATTAAGTAGGCTCCACACCCAACTTTGAACTCGAACTCACAACCCTGAGAGCAAGAGTTGAATGCTCTACAGACTAAGCCAGCCAGGCACCTCTATTTGTTTTGTTTTGCTTTATTTTTTCAATGGATGAGCATAATTATACTATAGTGAAGGGTTAAGGTTTATAATGCTTACCTTCAAGTAAAGACTCAATAAACATGCCTTCATTTTTATCATGTTTCACATATTTAATAAAATAACCTAACTAGAAACCCAGTGTATTTCAAATGTGCCAACTAAAGGTAAGTATAATATTCTTCTTCATTGTTTCCAGATGCTTAGCAAATTTTGCCACTAGTCTTTCCTTGCCTTGGATTAATTTATAGATTGGAATTAATTACCAACAATAAGAATATAGATTTTTTTATACATCTTAAACTGTGAAACAAGCTTGGGTTCTGTTTTTCAGACATCAGGTGGAGGAAGTGTCTTCTTTTTTTTTTTTTTTTGGAGGAAGTGTCTTCTTGATGGAAAAAAACGTATTCATCTTATCCTAGAGTAAAGAAAATAGTGAAAAAATCAGCAAATTTTTACTTTGGTGAAATGCTCTTTAATCCCAATCCCATTTTAATCTAAATTTGACTTAATATTCCCAACAGCACTTCATCTGGTAGAGCAGAATATAACAACCACACCCATGGGATCCAGGTAACTAAAGAACCCACTGCTCAGTCTTCCAGATCCTCATTGCTCAGAGTACAGTGTCCTGACCAGTAACACTGGCATCACCTGGGAGCTGGTTAGAAATGCAGAATCGTAGGGGCTCCTGGGTGGCTCAGTTGGTTAAGCATCCAGCTCTTGATTTCAGCTCAGGTCCTGATCTTGTGGGTTGTGAGATCAAGTCCTGTGTCAGGCTCCACACTTAGCAAGGAGTCTGTTTGAGAGTCTCCCTCCCCCTTGCCCTCCGACCTTCCCCCACTTGTATACATGTGTATGTGCACATGCTCTCTCAAATAAGTAAATAGAGCTTAAAAAAAAATGCAAAACCCTGGACCCTACCCGACACCTACTGTATCAGAATCTGAATTTTAATAAGATTCTCATTTACAGACACATAAAAGCTTGAGAAATACTGGGCTAGACAACTTCTTTAGTTGTTGTATTATATGCCACAGAACAAGAAGGAGATGACAGAAGGAAAGGAATATAACTTATTAGTATGATGAAGACAGTGGCTGCTTCGCAGTTTCTAAGAGAAACATGTTTTAGAACTAAAATTAGATAATTATGATTCTAAATTTTAAATTATTTAAAATTTAAATGTGTCTTAAATGTCGGAAGAGTCATAACTACAATGACCATGCTATTCATGAGAAAGAGGAAAAAAAAGCTCAAGTGAATAGGAAAAAGATGGCCTAAGGACTGGCTGAGTTATCTAAAGGAAGTATATCTTATAGAAGTTCCTGGAACTATGCTAATCTATGGAAAACCTGTCTTTGAAAGAATCGGTTCTAAGGTGTATGTACAATATATGCAACTTTTCACGATTGACACACTAAAATCAATAGGTTCCATTGCTTTTCCCTCTATTGTTTACATTCTGTTTCATTTAGCAGACTCAGGTAGGGAAAGCCTAATACTTCTGGGGAGGGAGAGATTTATGTGGGTCAGCAGCAAGACGATTCCGAACGTATAGTAGGCATCCAACATATGCTTCCTGGTTCATCATTCATTGGTCATTCTCACGACAACAAGTGACCGAGTACCTGCTGGGTCAGGCACCATGCTACGTTCATGGTGGTGAATGAAAGAGACACAGTTTATGCTTTCCTGGAGTTTCTGATCGTGTATGAATTACTGCTGATCAATGTTGTAAAATTCTCTGTGGAATGTGTTCATCTACGATATTTCTGTGCCTCTCATCTACCTTTTTATTGATAATGAGAGAAGTCTAATTCTTCATTATCAGTCTGATTCATGTAGATTGATCAGTTGTGATTGGTATAGCAGATGGTAGGAGTTCATACAGCAAAATGCAGCTGATAACTAACAGATATGAAACTAAGATATATAACTATAGCAGTTATATATTATAACATGATCACTGTTGGGGCACCTGGGTGGCTCAATTGGTTAAGCGTCCCACTCTTGGTTTCAGCTCAGGTCATGATCTCAGGGTCGTGAGATCAAGCCCTGTGTCAGCCCCATGCTGTGTGTGGAGTCTGCTTAAAATTCTCTCTTCCCCTCTCCCTAGCCCCCACCACTCACACGCATATGTTCTCTCTCTCTCTCTCTCTCAAAAAAAGTTTATAACATGATCACTGTAAGTGCTTGACATGGGCTGTAGATAGAGGCCTGGAGGCCACTAAGAAGTTACTGTGGGTGAGTAAAAATGAGTGGGAGCAATGAACAAGTCTCTCCTACACTGTATGGGTGAAAATAATGCAATTATGGTCAAAGTCAAACACCCATTTTTCAAAAATCAGATGCTCCCACCTGATGAATTTAGTCATCAATTGGACTTTAATGTCTTCACATGAAGGTAATTTGTTCTTCAAACCAGTTTTATAATATGGCATTTAGAAAATCATTCATTTTAAAAATAAATAGCTTTGGGAGTTTTCTTGGATTGATGGATTTACACACTATAATTAGAACCTGACAAATTGAGTGGAAAGTTGAAATAAACAGCCCCCAATGGGCAAGAGGCCCAGACTTGAGTTGAATCAACCATTACTTCAGGACACTGCTCTCTTTGTGGATTTTGAGTTTAGTCGTCTCCCAGGATCATTCTAACCCCACGTGCCCTCAGCCCTGGCCTTTGTGTGGGTTTAACTACCACCCCCACTGGTTCCACCCTTGTTGTCCAGTGACTAGAAGTTACTGGAAGTTAAGAGAATCATCTCAGAAGCCAGCGGGACACAGGTTTGTTGTTCTGCCCTCACAACCTCCTAGACACAGGATCTTGAGTAATGTAATGTTTCTGTGCCTCAGTTTCCTCACTGGGAAAATGGAGATTAAAACTCCCATCTTATGCGATCATGTGAATTACATAGCTACATAAAACACTGACCGTTGTGCCCATCACATGGTAAATGGTGGCTTCTACTACTTTATCGTAGACCCCAAATCTCCATACTGGTTCCTTTTTGCTACATGAATCCCTCCGGTAACAAATTTTTTTTTTCTTTCTTTCACCATGTTACTCAGTCTCTCAGTGACTATATTTTCTCCCTACTGAATTCAGATCTTAGAGGATGCCTCCCAGGAGACCCTTCTCCTTTGCGGCACTTTCTCTGCGGTATCACCCCACTCTAGGTTCAACAGACCCCCCTCAACTCTTGGGCACAGTTTGGCTCATAGAGGCAATCATATCAGTGGTTAAAAGCCACTGGAGACTGGCTGTCTGGGTTCCGATCTCAGAAGGTCCACTCACAGGCTGAGTGGCTCTCAGTCAATTACTCAGCCTTGCTGTGCCTCCATTTCCTAATCTAAAAAACTGAATTCTATCTGTTTCACGTGATTCTTGTAAAGATTAAAGCGAAGGTTATACATGAAGAATCTAGAAAAATAAGTGTGATACAGCATTTGCTATTACAAGTCATTTCTTGGGTGAAATTACCCAACCGTGGCATTTACCCACTTCTCTCTTCTCATCCTAGGGTGACCTCCCAATTGCAGAACTATTTTTAGGATTCATATACCCTATTTCAGGTCCCTAGGGTATCTGGACACTGCTGGTGTTTCCATGCCAAGACCCCCACGTTCTCCACATTCTATCACCAATTTTCAGGCAGACACTGGTTATGACAGTGAGGAGTGAGTAATATTTTGTTCCAACCTTTATGTCTGTGGGGACCAGTGAGTCGGGCCCAGCTGGGTGGCCTTTACGTCAAATAGGGAGAAACTCAGGGAGCCAGGCAAAGTAGTTGCCTGATTCTTCCTTAATTCCCTTATCTCCCTTTCCTCATTTCCACCGGGAAGCAAAGATCTGGAAAAAAGGGGACAGTGCAAGATTCCTCCCCACCCAGGCTGGCTGTGTGCCAGGAAGTCCACCCAGACTGGCTGTGTGCCAGAAAGTCTTCGTACATAAAAAGTAAAGAGTCAAGTGTAACTCAAGAGTATGAACTTCTATTGTATCCATGGGGAAATTTGCCCAGCTTAACTATTAACTGTTTAAGTTCCGTAATGGGATAGTGTGGCTAAGCCAAAAGTAACTTCAGGAGAAGCAAATCAAAACAAGATTGCATTTCAGGGTTCCTGGGGGGCTCTGTCAGTTAAGGCTCTGCTTCATCTCAGGTCATGATCTCAGGGTCCTGGGATCAAGCCTCGAGTCAGGCTCTCTGCTCAGTGGGGAGTCTGCTTCTCCCTCTCTGTCTGTGCTCTCTCTCAAATAAACAAATAAAATCTTTAAAAAAAATGGGGGGTGTGCCTCAGTAGCTCAGTCTTTAAGCATCTGCGTTCGGCTCAGGTCATGATCCCAGGGTCCTGGGATCGAGTTCTGCTTCGGTCTGCCTGCTCAGTGGGAAGCCTGCTTCTTCCTATCCCACTCCCCCTGCTTGTGTTCCCTCTCTCGCTGTGTCTCTCTCTGTCAAAGAAATAAATAAAATCTTAAAAGAAAAAAAAAAAGATTGCATCTTGATTGAAAACTTGAAATAAAACATCCACCACTGAGCTGTGAGCTAATCAGCACACTTGGGGCTTTCAGCAGAAGTCAAGAATATCAGGATCTTACTTCTCAGCCCTCCGTGCCTTGAATAGAACTTGGCTTGCGGCAGCAAACTGTTTCTGCTCGGCGGTCCCAGCTTCAAGCCTCCCACTGGGAGATTCCTTTTAATGCTCCAAATCCCTTCCAGGGCCACTGTCAATATTTTCAGAAGCAAGATGACAATTATTAGCTAGGTTTCTTTTTAGTACAACATCTTTTAGAAGTATTTACTTGGTGATTATCTTTGCAGTCATTTGGTTGGAGCTTAATTTTGCTTGATTAATCAAACTACCCAAGGTCTTTAGCATTTGTTTCATCTCTTATTCCAGTTCATTCAATTATTCTCATAGGCAGTTAAACCTCTACAGTGCTATTAGATCATTTACCTGGCCCCTGAAGACAGAGGTGAGAAGTCAATATAGAAACACATACACCGACACACAAAAGGATTGGAAATAAACTGGTTAATACAGACACTTCATGGGGTCTGCCCTATCTGATTTTGATTTAATTCGTCCAAATACAAATATTTCCAAAGATAATATAGCCCAAAGTTACCATATTAATTTAGCAAATACTTTCAACAATCTTCTAAAAAATTGACCTAGATGCTACTTAATCGCCCCTTGAATGAAAACAACAAGCTCACTGGAAACACCATAGACTAATACTCCAGACACAATGTCTACTCATTGATACAAAGCAAATTGTCATCTTAACTCCTGATGCCATTTAGTAAGTACTGTTAGTGATCTGATTTGCACTGAAATGTCCTCCGTATCTTAAAAGCACTTGAGAGTCAGTCAACAAGCCTCTGGTGAAAATCTGTCTTGTAAAAAACAGTGACCCAGCTCAAGTAAGGTTATTCAAGTTAGTTAAATATGTTGTTTTTACCATTTCTAAAGCTGCAAATTATAATGCCCAAATAATGTCCACAGATCCGAGGTTGCCTACTGATAACCACGCTAACGTCTGATTCTTCCCTAAAGGATTCCGGACCCTGTAATGATTAGGGGCACGGTGTTTGGGTTTAGAAGGGATCTGGGTTTCCGTCTTTCCTTCACCATCTGCCAGGAGTATGGCTTTGGTTAAGTTAGTGAACCCAACGTGTCTCTGTTTCCTCAGCTTTGAAATGGGGATAATATCTAGCTCAAAGAATTATTACAGGATTTGGATGAAATGGATGTACAGTGCTTTGCACTCAGTAAATGGTAGCTATTATTTTTACAAGGACAATGATTTTCCTGTCCTAAGCATGGACTCAGATTCTGTTTTGATGAGCTGATTCACCACGTGGAATGTCAATACTGTCCTCTCCCTCCCCACTCCTGAATGAAGTAGCTGAAGGTATCTGGCCAAGCTCGTTTCTTCCCCCACCCTCAAAGACCTTCAAGGAAAACTCCACAATCTCCTTCTGTCAAAACCTTACAAAGTTTAAGCTGTTCCTTGTATCTAACCCAAATCTTTCCCCACCCTTCCAGCCAGTTTCCTCCTCTTCTATCCTGTCTAGAGACAGAAAAGAGCTGCTCTCCAGCCTCTCGATTAGAGACTCTCAGATTTAGGAGTCCACGGATGTTTAGGAAATGCCTCCTGTATATACCTCCCGGGAAGAAACCAAAGAAGTGGATTTAGATTTGTTCCACATTGAGAGATGTTCTGGCAAATGGAAAACAGTTCAAGTTCAGGAGGCAGAACTATGTAGAAAAACCACATTAAATTAGATAGAAAAATTATACTAATCTAATCAAGTTGTGCACTTCCTGATGCAATCTGGAATCCAGGAGTATCTGGAAGTTTACAACTTAATAGGGAAAATACCTCAAACGTAAATGCAGATGCTCAGAAACGGGTGAGAAAAATAAAAGCAAAATGTAATTATGGATAAGTATTTACTATACTCAGGAATAGAGGCTGCTAGAAAAAAACAGCGCTACTTTGATTTCATATGATGTTAGGGTGAAGAAGTTACAGGAGGTGATATGTTCCACTGAAGAAAAAGAGGTCTAGAAAGAAGAACAAATGTCCTTGGAAACGCCTTTTTTTTTTTTTTTTTAGGAGAAATCCAACTCCCTCTGGACATGCGCATTCCAGGAGGAAGAAGAAAGACAAAGAAGGGAGGCCAGCCAGGGAGGCCACAGTGTTGGCACACAACCTGACAAGGAAAGGGCGGCAGGACGAGAGAGAAGCTAAGAGAATGGAATTAAATCCCTTCCAGAAGCTCAGAATCTTCTGTGTAAGCATAGTTTGTGATATGCCCCACCTGGCTGGGGACCTTCATGCCGATGGGTGACAGAATGGGCAGCCAGCCAGGGCAGCGTAAGCCAACTCCAGTCCCTGCTGCCATGTGTGAATGACAATTCGGCTGTCAATCTTTCTTTCTCTGCCTCCTCTCCATCTTCACCCAAGATAATCTAGAAATCTAGATTCGTTTGTAAAAAGTCCTCATTTTTTAAATGTTGACAACTGGTTGCTTTATTTAAAAAATATAATGCAGGGGCGCCTGGGTGGCTCAGTGGATTAAGCCTCTGCCTTCGGCTCAGGTCATGATCTCAGGGTCCTGGGATCGAGCCCCGCATTGGGCTCTCTGCTCGGCAGGGAGTCTGCTTCCTCCCTCTGTCTGTCTCTCTGCCTACTTGTGATCTCTGTCTGTCAAATAAATGAATAAAATCTTTAAAAATAATACAATGCAGAACTAATAAAAATATCTATATGTTTGCAAGATGAGCCTGGTATAAGGGTCAACTATTTGGGATCCTGAACCAAACTAAGATACCCCGACAGCCTAATTAAATACAAGTCATGGTGATCTGGAGTGGGTATGGAGGATGGCTCTGTGGTTTTGGACTTGGCCATCGTGCCACGTCATGCATTTGGATGGGTGATATACAGGGAGGAGTAAGTTGAGGAGAGGTATGAGTTTCATTTTGGTCATGTTGATCTTGAGTACTTAGGGGACATCCAGTAAGGGAAGCTGAGCCTGGACACACAGACTTCAACAGGGACCATCACAGTGAGGTAGTGGTAGAAACAATGGGAATAGCCAAGATGATCCAGGGAGAGCCAGTGGAACAAGATTAGAAGACTGTGGGCAACACCATGGTAAACATGAGTATTTTGGGTTGAGGGTGAGTGAAACAAATTTCTTAAAGGAGAATAAGAAGAAATATCCAGGGAAGAGAAGAATAAGGACATTTCAGTGTCAAGGAATTTGAGGAAAAACAAGGTGTAAGGAGAGAACCATCAATTATGTCAAGTAGTGCAGAAATCTCAGGCCAGCCAAGGGCAGAACAGGACCATGGGATTTGGTCAAAATACATCACTAGAAACACTATAGTGGGTAAAAAGCCAATGAATTTGAGATCAGACTGGAGTTTGGAATCCGGTTTTGCCACTTACTTAATGCATAACCTTGGACAGTAGAAACCTCTCAAAATCTCAGTTTACTCATCCGTAAAAGGGGGGGGGATTGTCATAATACCTATATCACACGGCTTTCCTGAGGATTTGTAGTAAGCAAAATAAAGACCCTGTCCTCATGCAGCTTATGTTCTTGTGGGACAGATAGTCAATAAAGAATATACAGACACGCCTTTTATGAAGATGGCGCCGAAAGCTAAGAAGGAAGCCCCTGCCCCTCCCAAAGCCGAAGCCAAAGCAAAGGCTTTGAAGGCCAAGAAAGCGGTGCTGAAAGGCGTCCACAGTCACAAAAAAAAGATCCGCACATCACCTACGTTCCGACGACCCAAGACTCTGTGTCTCCGAAGGCAGCCCAAATACCCTCGAAAGAGCGCCCCCAGGAGAAACAAGCTTGATCACTATGCCATCATCAAGTTCCCCCTGACTACTGAGTCAGCCATGAAGAAAATAGAAGACAACAACACACTTGTGTTCATTGTGGATGTCAAGGCCAATAAGCACCAGATCAAACAGGCTGTGAAGAAGCTCTATGACATTGATGTAGCCAAGGTCAACACCTTAATCAGGCCTGATGGAGAGGAGAAGGCATATGTTCGGCTGGCCCCTGACTATGATGCTTTGGATGTTGCCAACAAAATTGGGATCATCTAAACTGAGTCCAGCTGGCTAAATCTAAATACAGTTTTTTCATGATAAAAAAAAAAAAAAAGAATATACAGACACATATGTAACTTCAAGAAGTGATTTTAAAAAAGCAGAAAGAAGAAAGTTGTATAAAAGATTAGAGAGTAATTGAGAGAGTAAGTAGTTTCTACTTTAACCTGGTAGAAAGGTTACTTCTGAGAAGGTGACATTTCAGCTGAAACTTGAAGGAAGAGGGAAAAAGACAATTGATGGTCTAGGGGAAGTGGAAGGTTTCTGAGGTGAAAATGGGTTTGGCATGTTCCAGAACATCAAGGAAAGCCGTATAGCTAAAGTGAAGTGGGAAAGTGTGGGAGCTGAGTTCAGAAAGGTGAGCTTCAGAAAGGTGAGCAGACCATACCAGGGGCCTGAAATCTAGCCTAAGAATCATAAGGAGCCATCGGAGGGTCTTGAACATGGAGGTGGTGGACGATAACTTATGTTGTAAGGGATCCCTTTGGGTTCTCTGCAGAGAATGCACTGTGGGGACAGCAGTAGAAGGTGCTAGAGGATGCTACTACTGAGCTTGTAAGAGATGATGGCGGCTTGGACAAGGCTTTAGTTGGGCAGCTTTGCAATGTATTTCCATTCAGATTCAACAGGATGAGCTGAGGACTGGATATGAAGTGTGAAGATTTGACTTTCAAGTGTTTGGTGTAAGCAACAGAGTGAATGGGGATGCCATTTCCTGAGATGAGGAAAAGCTGTTGAAGAGTGGTATAGAATAAGAGTTCCATTCTGGACATGTTCAGTGCAAGAGACCTAGTAGACACACAGGTAGGGAGTTAAACAGGCTTTTGGGATTCAACAGGGAAAGCAGAGGCTAGAGATAGAAATTTTAGAGTCATTAGCACACAGGACTAGATGTGATCACTCAGGGAGTGAATATAGATGGAGAAAAGGGCCTGTGACTGAGCTTAGAAAAGTTTAGAGGTGAGGAGGAGGGAGAGCCAGCAAAGACGATGGGGAGTCGTACCAGCAAAACCAGGAGGCTGAACCATTCTGACCTCCAGGCTAAAGTGTTCCCAAAGGGAAGGAGTAAACAATTACATCAGAGGATACAGAGAAGTTGAGTTTGATGAGTTTCTGGATTGTATTAGATTCTCAAGATCATTGGATTTGACCTTCAAGAGAAGGTCATTCACCATCTGGAAAAGAACAGTTTCATGGAAAAGAACAGGCTCATGGGAACCAAAGACTATTTGCAATGGGTGAAGGAGTAAACAAGAAGTGGAGAAGTGGAGACAATGGGTCTAGTGTACTTACTCTTAACATCCAGGAAGCGAGGATGTCAGAGCCATACGAGTCCCTAAAAGTTTTATGCGGAATTCTGCATGTATGTGACAAGCTGTGTTCCCCAGAAAGAGAAGCCCCAGCTCTCAGCGTATATGAAGCCCCAGCTCTCAGCATATATTTAAAGGAGTATGTCACAAGAAAATCCTGCAATAGAAAGTTCAGTGGCTCGCCCAGAGCTGCCAATGCCTGGAGAGTAAGCAGAAGGCACGACACCCCCTCCAGAGGCTGGATTCCTGTTGTAGCCAAGCGCACGGGGCGTCCAGCCATTTTAATTTTTTTTTTTAAGAACAGAAAAAGAAAAACAAAATTAGTAGCTTGTTTTCCATAAGTAAAGCCCCTTTAAAATTTAACCTTACAGAATCCACTCTCAGCTTTGACGGATTTTCTAGGCTAAAAGAGCACCTCTGTGCGACCTCTGGTGGAGGTTATGAGAACGCAGCCCAAGCATTTCCATTTTACTTGAGGGACATTTTAAAAAGATTGCTTAGAAAAATGGATTTTTATAATCACTTAGATTATCTCACAATCGAATGCATCCAATAAGAATAATACATCATCTAACTGTTATATGTTATAAAATTTTTAAGTGTATAAATGAAAGTAACCCCAAAATAGAATAGCATGAGACTTCAAATTTTTTCTAACCACTAGGGGAATAGTGGCTCAGTCCTTTAAGCCTCTGACTCTTGACTTCAGTATGGGTTTTGGTCTCAGGGTTGTGAGTTCAAGTCCTGCATTGGGCTCCACAACATGGAGCCTATTTAAAAAAAAAAAAAAAAGTCTGTGAGGGATTCTGGGCTTTTAAAGCATGTCTTTTCTCAAATGAACTATCAATGCCTAGAGAGATAACCCATAAACTATATGTATATACAGTAAAATCCTGGGATGATTTGACCTATGTAAATGACTTCGATTCTTCTGGGTCAGTGATCTTCAGATCGAATCCCTGGACCATCAGCTCCAAAACCAACTGGAAACTTGGTAGAAATGCAAATTGCTGACCCCCTACCCAGGAATTACTGAGCCAGGGACTCTAGAGATAGGTACCAGTAGCCCACTTTGAACAGGTTCCTGGGTAATTCTGATGAAATCTAAACTCTGGGAACCACTGTTCTTGGTCACATTTATATTGATAAAGATTGAAGATGTTACTGTGCTTTTCTTGGAAAAAATTCTACTTCTCATTAAATAGAAATAACTCTGCCAAAAATGTGGGACAGCAATGTAGATACTGATACTTAGGCAATTTTTTTTGTAAAAATAAGCTTATTTGGACACAGGCAAAATAAGTATGAAATTAGCTCAAGAATTTCCCAAGGATCCATTTTTCTTTTGATAGCCATGGTTTTGTAATAAATAAAATAATCGGGGCGCCTGGGTGGCTCAGTAGGTTAAAGCCTCTGCCTTCAGCTCAGGTCATGATCCCAGGGTCCTGGGATCGAGCCCCGCATCAGTCTCTCTGCTCAGCGGGGAGCCTGCTTCCCCCTCTCTCTCTCTGCCTGCCTCTCTGCCTACTTGTGATTTCAGTCTGTCAAATAAATAAATAAATAAATAAAATCTTTAAAAAAGAATAATAAATAAATAAATAAAATAATCACTCTACCATTAAATAGGTAATTTCGTATTCATTTCATAAGTACACTTTGTCTGTCACAGAGATTACCTGCAGGTGGATTTTTAATGTGGCATTCATCTCTTTTAATATAAAGTTCTTCTTCTAATACTTCCTTAATTCTCTTATGTGGCTCAGAATACAAGAATTTCTTCCCTGCAAACACATTAATAAAATTGATTATTTATCATAAATATTATGCCAAACTTTCCATTATACCTACATGAATCAATATTTCTTAAAAAGATACATGCATCCACACAAACAGCAGCTGATTCATGCTACGACTCTATTTTGGAAAGATCCCTTTTTGTTTCTTTTGGGACCTTATACTTTCACATAATTCCTGAACTTTTATGGTTAAATTTCAGCACCTCTTTTAGGTGTTAGAAAGAAATATAGGGAGTTTCCTTCCTTAGCTTTAAGAAAACTCAATTATTTGATAAATCCTTATTAAAGACCTACTCAGTGCCAGGCATTGGGCTAGGGGCAGAGGACAAGCAATGAATAAGACAGATATGCCCATGGAGCTTACAATCCAGCTACATAACACAGGACAACCTCAGTCTTATTTAATCATCATTTTGAGAGGTAAATGTGAGCTGTAGTAGCGAATTGCTTATGGACATATGACTTTTTCCTAGCCTCTAAGCCTGGCCATGTAGGACATCAGAGGACCAGCTTATTTGTTCTAAGTACCAATATCTCACTCCATCGTTGGCCCTTCTGTCCTCTCCCACACCAAAGCCTATGTACATTCTATTTTGTGCCTGAACTGCCTTTCTCCTAATATTTTTGCCTGGGTAACTTCTACTCAAATATCAAGTATAGGCTTAAAGCGCAGTTCTTTGGGGATGCTTTCCCTAACTGTACCATGTACCTGGATCCTTTTTTTGCATAGGACTCTCCTCTTTTCTTTCATTTCATTTATTGCAATTTGTAAATGGCTTCATTTGCTTTATATGTCCCTATTTATGTAACTATTATTTGAATATATGTCTTCCTTATCAGACCATAAATACCATAGGGCAGGGATGTTTTCTGATCAGCTCATCAGAGTCCTAGGACAGAATCTGGTGAATGCAGCCTTGTGAATGTCAGGGAACCAGTATTTCTAATCTTGGTACTCAAAAGCTCAGTGCAAGGAACCATGGAAAACCTAACCAACCCAACATGTTAGCTATTTCAGATGTGATCATTTTTCTCAGACTAACCAATAAAGAACACAGGTGAAGAGATTTGACTTGTGTATGGACTGGCCCAAACAGGGTAAGAGACCACTGCCTCTGTTTGTGGTCCTGGGTCACTCCTGGTCATGAAGACTCAAACACACCCTCAGACATGAACAAGGTAGAATTAGATACTTTCTGCCTCTCATTTTTGTTTCCCAAAACTTAGGAGTCATATGAATGTAAGATGGGGGTTAGCTTTGATCGTAAGATAGAAAAGGGGTTAAGTAACATGGCTAAGAGGGAAGAAAATTCTGGTAATAGTTCAGTAGAACAGATGAGATCGCCTGCTCTAAGTTCAGTCTCTTGACGAATTTCAGCCCTGCTGCTACAAGAATTTACAGAGGAAATCACTAAAGGTTTTGAGGAACTGAGAAAAATTAGAACAGCAAAGAGCTTAGTATAGGCAAATATTCCCCATTCCAAAAAGGAAAGAAAAAAGGATGGAATTGAGGAAGGGAGGAAGGAAGGAAGGAAGGAGAGAAGGATAAAAGGGAAAGAGGAAGGAAGGCAAGAAAAGTAAGGAGAGAAGAGGGAAAAAAGAAAAACCTTCTACAAACTCTAACATAACAACCTATGTTGATCTTCACCAACATTTTGACTGGGTTAGCCAACAGATGGCTTGTGAGTACAGCTAATGAGGAACAGTAATTACTAAGTGTTGAGAACTACTAAGAACAATATTATTCCAGACTAAACTGTTTTCTTTTGTTAAGAGCTGGTAATAACTGCTGCAATTTATTGAATGCTACTATACATATATTATTAGCATATTACATATTACTATGTAATATTACATATATATTAAATATAATATTATAATATTACATATTAATCACAAAACTATTCATACAAATTAAAAGTCATGCCTACCTAACTCTCCCCAACCCAAGTTACTAAACTAGCTCGATTAGGAAGTTGTCGTAGCCACAGTGTAGCTTCTTCTCAGCAAGGCATTTGATAAAGTGTATTTGTGGGAGGCAGAATGCCCACCCTGAGGATACTGAATGACAGATCAGGGACTTCCAGAGACAATCCTCGGAACTGTTGGAACTACCATCTAGTTTGCTAATTTGGATACAGGGAGGAGCTGCCTACCCACTGATTGTGAGAATGGCACAGACTTGCTGAATGGCAAACTCAGGAGTCAAAGGGCTGCTTCTATACCTGGGATGAAGTGTTAAAATTCATGGAATGGTACTGATGGGGATAAATATAATGACTTGTATTTAGGATGAAACAAATTTACTGCATAAATAAGAGAAAAAGCCTGGATCAAATGTTTTCGGTTGGACAACAGGGGAAAGAGAAACTAAGGATGACATAGACTGCTTTTGTTATATGTATTTATAATACAGTGTGCCTGCCAAAACAGCTCATTGATTCTGAGTCCATTTTATAGAAGTAGACATTTCAGATCAAGGGAGGTTATAGTCCCAGCACACTATCCTAAACTGATCACACCTAGAATACTGGATTCAGTGATTTAATAAACTGGAGAATGTAGGAAGAGGTTAGCCAGCATGGGGAGAGTGCTACAAAGTATTTTAAAAATGACTCTGAAGGCTATGAAAAATTTGGTGGCTGTTCAAATAGCAACTTTCATATAATTTAAGGATGTTTTACTGAGAAAGGACCACATTTCATCTGTGTATATTTCAGGTCATATCTGATTAGGGAGTAGAAGCTACAGAGAGACAGAAGACTGTCTGATGTCAAAAACATTTGACCATCGAACGGGTACTTCATGTGGGTGTGGGTGGGTACTCAGGCTGAGGCCGGAAAAGGAGGTTCTCTGGGGGGATGAGGCACCAGTGCTTTATGCCCCAACCCTGACTTTCTGAGGTCCTCAAAGCTTAGACACATGCCTTAATTCATCACTCACTACTCCGCAACTAGCCCAATGCCTGGCATGCAGTGAGGACTCAGTATTTGCTGAATTGACAAGTGAATGATCAATCCCACCTTTAGGACCCCACAGGACTAAAGAACCTCTCATTTCCAGCATCTTTAACGGGAAAATTCCCAGACAGAATTTGAAGTCAGAGTAAGGATGCCCTTAAATATACTGAATATGTAAATATACTGGATTTCGTTGTTCTAGGTAAGGCCTCTGCTATGCTGTTGGTAACCAAAGGAATGAGGAGGTATCCTGGTCATACTGGGACAGATGCTGAGGGAGGAGGCCCTTTCTCTAGGAGACACTGGTTCTGTGGCTCTTTAATGAGGTGTCCCGGGAGCAGGGTGTTTGGCCCCCTGAGGCAGAGGAGCTGAGCCATTCAGGCCCCCTCCCTCCTGGGGTCTGCCGAGCTCCTGCTGAAAGCTGAGGCGGGTCTCTAGAGAGGCAATCAAGAAGAGCCAGAAACTGCTGGCATTCCTCTTTGTCCTACTTATTACTTTTCCCATCATCATTCCTTAGCCCTTCCTGAAAACCCGCAGAGCACAGGAGACTGTGAAATATAAATTCATGGCACAGTATGGCTGGGCACTGAGGCCTGGAGCCGACTCGGGCTTCCGCCCTCTTGGTTGTGACTCTGGACCAGAGCTGCCTTCACTCACTTGACCATCGTTTGTGTGTTTGGCAGGAAGGAAACCGTGTGTTAACATGTAGCCGGTAACTGTGAGATTCTACAGGCATCAGGTATCATAACTGATGAACTGAGAGTCCCAGACAGGTGAGGTGAGCGTTTTAAGTACTTCTCCAGCACTGACTGAGTCCCTGGAGGCAAGTCATTTCCACTAGCCTCGACCTCAGTTTCCCGGTCTGTAAAATGAAGGAACTGGCAAAAAAGATCCACGTGTTTATCTCTCTCTGCGTATGTATATATATGCATATTACAAACGTTTATACATTTTATATTTTATTATATATAAATTTCAAATTTTATATCGTACAGATATTTATAACTACACTCACACGTTTTTCTTTCAATACCCTCCAGGCCGATGCCACTCTATCAGGCTGGAGGCCTACCTGGGCTCAGGTAGCCTTTTGCGAAGGCCCTCCAGCCCGTCAGCCAGTCTCACTCCCGATCGCCCCTCCCGGTTCCCCTTTCCCGCGTTCCACGCGTCCAGCGTCCCCGCGGGCAGAGTGCGCGAGCGGAGGGGAACTCACAGTGTCCGCAGGAGTCCTGGAGGCCAACCCCGCCGCCGCCGCCGCTGCCGCCGCCGGGCTCCCCGCGCGCCCCGCGCCCCAGCCCCGCGGGCTGCAGAGGCTGCTCCCCGTCGCGGCCCGCCTCCGGCGCCGCCACCGCGGTCACCACCGCAGCTTCCTCCCGCCTCATGCCTCGGGGGCCTTGCTCGAAGCCGGGGCGCCCGCCGGCCTTCTGTGCTCCGCCGCCGACTGCCTGGGAACGGCCGGCGTCGCGGGTTGCCATAGCGACCGCGGATCCTCGCTTCCCCAGAAGCTCTCCGCTCGCCTCCCGCAAGGGTCCCGCGCGCCCAGGACCGCGGTGAAGTTACGCGGCTGCCATCACCTCCCGACTCACACAGCCAAATCTCACGGTTGTTTCTCACCCCAGCGTCGCAGGAGTAGCTTTCCTATTCCCGGGCAGGGAAACCGAGATTCCGAAAAGCTCAGGAGATTACCCGAGGTCGCGGGGCCCACGAACAGTTCGCCACCCGGCACAGCTAGGGGTGGGTGAGGGCAGGTACCAGACAGGTGAGTTCAAAGTCAGGTCGCTAGTTCCACACAGCGCTGCGCTCGTGTCCCGCTCCCTGCTACTCACAACGCGATCAAATAGACGAATGTTGAGGTCCCAAACTTTTGGATGACGTTGTTTTTAAACAACTCTTATTTTCAAGCACTTTTGTATTCACGAGCTATTTCAATCTATATATAATGACTGATTTTACAGAGGAGAAAAATCAAATTCAGAAAAGTCTGATTTGAGTAGCAAGTGGGAAAATCTACAGCTTTAGTTGGAGCCTGACCTTGCTGTTGTTCTCTTTTTGCCATCATTAAAAAGTAAATTAGGGCGTGTTATTAATTTCCTGAAGGCTACGTGTGCATTATTTTACAGAGTCATAGCTCTACAAACTCGTAACCAAATACAGGGGACCCCATCTGCCTCCATTTCATCCCAGAAGCAACCACTTTCACCCCAAGAGGGTGAAATTTACAACCATGTAATGAAATGTTTACTTTGATGTTTTATGTTTTTCAGTCTTAGGTATCATATGTTGACTTCCTACTTTGAAAGAAAAGGATTTAGCGCTCCTTCATTATCCTCACCTCACGTGTACTTACTGCCCCCCTCAAACTCCTAATATAATATAAATATTACTACCACTATGTGAACTCTAGTCATAGCGGAGCTATGTAATATCCTATGGTCACTTTTCCTGTCTGCATAACCTTTTAACTTTCTGGAGTTAATAACTGTCTGGGTTTTTAATTTGCATGTCTTTTAATGTTCTTATCACTAATGAATTCCCGAACCCTTCCTCCTTGCTTATATGTCTCTCTTCCTTATATTCCTGTCTTATATGTCTATTACTACATTCAAAAATGGGAGGAATTCTGCCAATTTTATCTGTTTTTAGAAAGTCCTGGGCTGGCGTGCTTGGGTGGCTCAGTTCCGTTGGTTAAGCGTGGGACTCCTGGTTTCAGCTCATGTCATGATCTCAGGGTGGTGAGATTGAGCCCCCCAAGGGGCTCTCTACTCATGGCGGAGTCTGCTTCAGATTCTCTCTCCCTCTGTCCCTCCAGCTTGTGCATTCTCTCGCACGTGCCGTCTCTTAAATAAATTAAAAAAAAAAAAAACAGAACAAAACAAACAAACAACTTTCTGGGCTGGTTGATCTCTAGACCTGTGATTGCACAGCTGTTGTCTAGGGATTATTTCCCTCTGCAACCATGGCTCTCTCATGCATGGGATCCCTAGATTTGTGTATCCATTTTTTTCTCTTTCTTGGTATACTTAGATTTTTGGTAAAGTCTAGCCCCATTGACAAATGGTATATAAAAGTGTCTTTATTTTACTCTCTACTAATGTGGAAGTTGGGCTGGGTAAACAACTTTAGATTGGAAATGATTTTTCCTCGGAATTTTTAGATCATTGTACCACTGTCTTTGGGCATCCCGTGTTGCCCTAGAGAATTCTGCTGCCATTCTAGTCCTTGCCCCTGGTTCAGGCCTCTTCTTCTTTTTTTCTTTCTAGAAAGGTGGAGGATCATCTCTTTGTCCCCATTGTTCTCAAATTTCCCGAGGATACATCTCAATATGCATAAGTTTTTCATCCATTTTGCTGAACACTCAATAGATCATTTCAATCTAGAAATTCATGTCCTTTGGTTTAGAGAACTTGCCTTGAATTATTTTATTGTAATTTCTTTGTTTCCTCTGTTCTTTCTGGAACTCCTGTTATTTGTATGTTAGAGTTTTGATTTGTCTTATAATATTCTGACCTATTTTTCCTATCTTATGTCTATCTTGACACTACTTTCTAGGAGAATTCCTCAGTATTATTTTCTAAATTCTATTTTTCACTTCTATCACATTTTTAATTTCTCAAAGCTCTCTGAATATTCCTTTCTATAAAACATGTTGGCCTTATATCATGGGTACAATATCATATGTCCCTGAAGATATTAATGATCTATTTCATTTCCAATGTTCTTTTCTCCTTGTACAACTGTTGCTTCTGCCAAATTACCTATTCCTGTTTGTTTTGGTCTCAGTAGCTTTCTTCAATCTTCAGGGGCTCCTTGACAGTCTTGCCTTATGTAGCATGGAAAATATGAATCTGTGTATATGGTGGGGGTTATTAACTGGGGTTTTGCTGATGGGTGATCTGATATATATTCAGTTATGGAATCCCTGATGTCAGTATTATAAGTTCTTATCTCTTCAACTGCTCTGATTCTCCATGGAGTGAATCTTCTAGTCTCCCTGCTGGAGAGTGTCAGTCTGGTGTCAGTGCCCTGGGAAGTGAGTGGGAGAGGTCAACTCAGGGTTCAACATGGGATGTTGATATTCATGAAATCAGGATGTAAATATTCATGAAATCCCCCTGTTCGGTATGGTGGTCCTACCCTCAGCTGTGCTTTGTACCTTCCGGTCTAGAGGACCTCTCTTTGGCTTCCTCCTAGAGAATTAATCCCAATCTTCCACTGGGGTGGGATTCCATAATCTAGCTGCTCAGAATAGGGAAATTGGTCTAACTGCTTTTTTAAATTTGTGGTAAAATACACATAAAATTTAACCATTTGTAAGCATACAATTCAATGGCATTAAGTATACTCACAGTGCTATACGGCCATTACCACTCTCCATTTCTAGAACCTTTTCATTATCCCAAATAGAAAATCTGTACCCATTAAACAATAATTCCCAATTTCCACCTCTCCTAATCTCTGATAATAACCTCTATTCTAGTTCCTGTCTCTATGAATTTGACTGCTTTAAGTTCCCTATATAAGTGGAATCATATAGTATTTTACGTTTTGTGTCTGGCTTATTTCACTTGGCATAATTTTTTAAGACTTATTTATTTATTTGAGAAAGAGAGAGAGAGAGAGAGTGGGGAAAGGGCAGAGGGAGAGAATCTTTCAAGCAGACTACCCCCTGAGCACAAAGCTGAACACGGAGCTCGATCCGACAACCCATGAGATCATGATCTGAGCCAAAACCAAGAGCTGATGCCTAACAGACGGAGCCACCCAGGCACTCCACTTAGCATAATGTTTTTAAAGTTCAGCTATGTTATAGCATATAAGAACTGCATTCTTTTTTAAGGTTGAATAGTATTCCATTGTTTGGATATACCAAATTTTCTTATTCATCTATTGATGGATGTTTGGGTTGTTTCCACCTTTGCCAGGTTCCAATAATGCCACAATGAGCACTGACAGACAAGTTATCTATTTGTGTTTCTGCTTTCAATTCTTTTGAGTTCATATTTAAAAATGGAATTGCTGAATCATATGCCAATTCTATGTTTAACTTTTTAAGGAACCATCAAACTTTTTCAAGTGGTTACACCATTTTATATTCCCAACAGCAGTGTACAAGGGTTCCAGTTTCTCTACATTCCTACCAACTCTGGTTACTTTCCTTTTTTTAAAAAAATTTAATAATAATTGCCAGCTATCCTAGTTAGTGTGAAGTGGTATCTCTTTGTGGTTTTGACTTGCATTTCTCCAATGACCAGTGATGTTGATCATCTTTTCATATGTTTATAAGACATCTGTATATCTTCTTTGAAGAGATATCTATTCAAGATATCTATTCAAGAATGCTTGTTGGGTTCTTTGTTGTTGTTGAGTTGGAGGAGTTCTTTATATATTTTGAATATTAATATCTTATCAGTTGTATGACTTGTAAATATTTTCTCCTATTCCATGGGCTGCCTTTTCATTTTATTGATAATGTCCTTTGATTTTAAAAAGGTTTAATTTTGACATAGTCCCATTTATCTGTTTTTTCATTTAATGCATTTGCCTTTGGTATCACATCCAAGAAGCCATTGACAAATCCAATATTATGAAGATCCCCCCCATATACTTTCTTCTTCTTCTAAGAGTTTTATAGTTTTACTCTTATATTTAAGTCTTTGACTATTTTGAGTTCATTTTGTATTAACATTACAGTGTGATGTATGAGTCCAACTTTATTCTTTTGCATGTGGATATTCAGTTTTCCCAGCACCATTTGTTGAAAAGACTATATTTTCCTCCATTGAATTGGGTTGACACCCCTGTTCAGCGAGAAGCATGCTTCTCCATCTCCCACTTCCCCTGCTTGTGTTCCCTCTCTCGCTGTCTCTCTCTCTGTCAAATCAATCTTTTTTAAAAAAAGAAATATAATTGATTTCTTGTATATTGATTTTATATCCTGGAGTGTTGCTGAACTCATAAGTCTTAATAGTTTTTTCAGTGAATTCCTTGTGATTTTCTATATATAAGAGCATATTGTCTGCATATAGTGATACTTTTACTTCTTTTCCAATCTGGATGCCTTTTGTTTTATTTTCTTGCCTATTTTCCCTGGCTAGAACCTCCAGTACAATGTTTAATAGAAGCAGTGAGAACAGACTTGTCTTAACTTGATCTTAGATGGAAACCATTCAGTCTTCCACCACTATGTATGATGTTAGTTTTGGGGTTTTATAGATGTCATTTATCAGGTTGAAAAAGTTCTCTTCTATTCCTAATCTGTTGAGTGTTTTTATCATGAAGGTTAGCAATAATTCTTTTTTTTTAAATTATTTTAGTTGTTGCTTTAGTGTTTACAGTATGTGTCTTCAACTTTTCATGCACTACCTTCAAGAGATATAGCTTAAAATACATATAGTTTGA